TAGGATATAAAATAAATAAATAAATAAATAACTCCTACATTTGAAGTCCAAAACACCAGGAGGGCCAAAGTTTGCTCATGCCTGATCTACACTGTAGAATTAATGCAGTTTGACTGCTACAAAATCCTGGGATTTGCAGTTTCCTATACTCCTCGGCAAAGGAGGCTCAAGACAACAAATCCCATGATTTATTGAACCGTGGAAGTGGTACTGAACTGCATTCATTGTAGAAGCAGCCCAAGGCCTTGTCAAACTACAACTCCCTGGGATCCACAGCCTTGAACTAAGTTAAAATGCTGCTGAACCACATTAATTTCCCAGTGTAGATGCACCCCCTAGTTTCATCTCCCATCCTTTCTGAAAGGCATCTCCCATCATCCCCAGAGTGTTTTGGGGATGAAAGAAGTTGCAATCCATCACCTTTGGAAAGCTCAAGGAATCATTCTGCACATGCTCAGAGGCACCCAGCAATTCCAAGAATCTTTGCCCACAAAACTTCTCCCCTTGCAGGCCTCAGCCCCCAATCTCAGGTTCCCGTCTCTCACCTTTTCTCCTCCAAACAAGAGCCTCCTCTGCAGTAAATAAAGCTTTTGGTCACTCTTGCTGGCCCTGGAGAGTGGTGGACGGGGTAATCCTTAGCTCCCCCCCAGGAGCCATGTGACACAAACTTAAAGTTAGCATGGGGCTGGAAGCCTGCAGAGACATAGCCAGGAATCCGGTGGATGCTGCAGGGAGAGAGAGAGACAGAGACAGAGAGAGACAGAGAGGAGAGTCCGTCACCCTTCTCCACACCCCATAGTGTGAGGACCCCTGATGTAAAGGATAGTGACAGGGTAGCAGGCCTGCGGGGATGAGGGCTTTTTCTCCAGCTCCTGAAGGGAGGGCCTCCATGGGAGCCTGCTGGGCATGCACACTCACTGCTGGCCGTGCACGTGCACTCCTTGCCTCCCCCTCCCTCCCTGAGGCTTACAGTTGAACGTCTTTCTAAGGGGGGTGGGGGGAGGGAGGGGAAAGTGTTTTTTTGGGGGGGGGTTGAGTGGAGAACATACATTGGGTTGTTAGGTGTCTTGTGTCCAAATTTGGTGTCAATTCCCCCAGTGGTTATTGAGTTCTGGTGGTATCACAAACGAACATTACATTTTAATTTATATAGATGGAATTATTTGCTTCCGCAATCAGGAAAGATAAGGAGATACAGAGAATGGGCATGGACAACAAAATCAAAATCCGTTTATTTGCAGATGATACACTTTTGACATTCAGGAGTCTGGATAGGGTACTTTTGTTGTTCATTCGTTCAGTTGTTTCTGACTCTTCGTGACCTCATGGACCAGCCCACGACAGAGTTCCCTGTCAGCCATCACCACCCCCAGCTCCTTCAAGGTCAATCCAGTCACTTCAAGGAGGCCATCCATCCATCTTGCCCTTGGTTGGCCCCTCTTCCTTTTTCTTTCCATTTTCCCCAGCATCACTGCCTTCTCCAAGCTTTCCTGTCTTCTCATTATGTGGCACTAGATCTGATAAATCTACATTTAAAACAGTTTGGAAAAATAACAGGACTAATAATTTATTGGAAAAAAATGGAGGTAATGACAATAAACTTGGAGGGAAAGGACAAAGAGAAAATAATGGACCAATTTAAGGTTAAGATTACAAGCAAAATTAAGTACTTGGGAGTCACAATACCAGTTAATTACTCAGAGTTAAAAATAAATAAATTTTGATAGACTATTTAGGGAAATTCAAAAAGACCATTGGAATACAAAAAAAAATCTCTCATGGTTTGGCAAAACAGCCATTTTTAAAATGAAAATATTATCTAAATTTATCTTCCTTTGTAATATGTTACCCATTAAATTATCAGATGTTGATCTTAAAAATGGCAGAAAATAGTCAATAAATTTGGTAATGGAACTAGACGATCTAGGCCTATGATACATTCCTCAGAAATGAGGGGGATTAGGAATAAGAGAACTAAAAACCTACTATCAGAGACATATAATAAAGGGAGTGTTTAGGCTGCTCTCAGAACCTAAATTAATATAAATTAAACTTGAAGACAAATGCTGGCAAAGAGATTATGAGGAAATGTTTTTCCTGTAAAAATAGGCAAAATAATTAAGGGGTGTAAAAAAAAACCTGGCTAAAGATGTTATGAAGAAATGGGTTAAGTTATAAAACAAAATATTTCCAGGAGTTTCTCCCTTAACCCCAATAGTTTTATTGGAAATTACATGGAAGACCTGAGAGTGAAACTTAAGAATAAAAAATTAGTGGAGGTGGAAACTGCTTTTTCTTGGAAAGAATGGATACAAAACTCAATGGGTAAATTTAATTATTTAGAGCAACAAGATGTCCTGAATTGGTTTGAGAGGCAGCAGCTATATACATGAGAAAAATACTGGTTAGGTAAAAATCCTATATGTAGAGAGTTAAATAAATATGAAGAATTGTTAAGTAAACTTAAAAAGCGAGAAATATCTGGGAAAGGACTAATTGGGAAAAATATTTAATGGATTTATAGACAAGGAAATCGTCTTGAAGCTGTTAGAAAAGGTATGGGAGGAGATCTGGGGCCTCTGATGGAACTTGACTGGAAAAGGGTTCTAAAGTAGAGAGTGGTTAAGAATCTGTCAAAAAGATTAAAAGAAAACATGTATAAAGTCATATGGAGATGGTGTACCATATTAGTTAAATTATTCCAGAAGGATAGGAGGCAAAGTAACCTCTGCTGGAGATGTGGCATGCACAAAGGGAGATATTTTCATTCAGTGCCAAGCAGAAGAGTTTTTGAGACAATATATTTATGGAAATAGGTAACATTATAGGATTAAACATTGCCCTGGGTGCTAGGCTAGCATTATTAATTGATGCCACAAAGCTGAACAAAGATAGGGAAAAAAGAACCAGTGATTATTTTACTCACAGTGGCGAGACTTAAAATTGCAAGGAACTGAAAGATAGTAACCAATCTCACACTGGTCGTTGGCGGTGCTAATTGACTTCGCGTCTCCCCTCGGCTTCAATCTGCCCGGGGGTGGGGGCTTATTTTGCCCTCCCGACCGAAAAAGCGGTTTGCGTTCAGAGAGCACTCAGAACGCCCAACCTGCTGCCATCAGTGCTCACCGGAAGAACATTCAGGGGGAAATTAATAGATCAGAATTTGATTCATATTGGTCGGTTTTCATTAAATATATTTTAGAGAGTGATAAGGGGAATTTTGGTCAGGAATTTTGGATATGCCATTTGTTTACTGGTTGACTCATAAAATTATGGCAAAGAAAATGATACTTGTTCAGGCCTCGGTGGTGGGGTTATGTGTTTGTAAAAAGTTCTTTGTTTTGTGGTCTCTTTACACTGTAAGCTGTTAATATATGTAAATAATTGTTTAAAAATAGAGGTGTGAAATTCAACTTGTCAAATTTCTGTTCAGAATGCACTGTCTAGTTTTCTTATTTTGATTCTACTTTTTATTTATTATACTTCAACTTCATTACATTTTTATTTATCTTATTTAGGCACCTTTTAAGCTCTAGTAAGCTCTAGTAGCTCATTGTCTACTAGCTCATTAGGATACATGTCTCTGTGCAATTATGTTCCGTTAGTGTATTTTTATTTATGTATTTGTTTGCTTATTATGTTAGCTTTTTTGTAAAGAGTTTATTAATGTGTATTTTTATTCTTGAGTGTTCTGTGACTTTTAACATCGCATTGAATGTTTGCCTGTTTTATATGTATGTAAACCATCCTGAATCCCTATGGGTAGAGAAAGTGGTCTAGAAATAAAGTATTATTATTATTATTACTTTCTCAAGTCACTCCTGACGAAACAAATTAATAATAATAATAATAATAATAATATAATGATAATAAATTATTATTATTATTATTATTATTATTATTATTATTATTATTATTATTATTATTTTCCTGGAGCGGCCACAGAACCTCTGAGAAGTACACATGGAGCCCTTAGGGCTCCACAGTGTACAGGTTGGAAGCCATTGTCCTAGAGGGCAAATCTAGCCTGCAGTTTATCTAAGAGCAGAGTTCAAAAATAGAATGTTACTTGTAACATCTTATTGTAACTTACATTTCAAGGAAAAATCTGTGAAAATCTGTCTGTAATGACCAAAATTCTACAGTGTAATGTAACAAGGTTTTTGGCCTTTTCAGTCAGCACTCCTAGTCCACAAATTCTGCATTCATGGATTCAGCCATCCACAGTTTGAAAATATTCCCTCTTGCCAAAAAATATTCCAATAGACAAAGCTTGATTTTACCATTTGCATTGTACTGCACTATTGTATTTAATGGCACTTAAATATTCACAGATGTTGGTGTCTGATGGAGTACTCAGAGCAAATCTCACTGGATATAAGGGTGCACTGCACTTGTTTATTAGGTCTCTTCTGACTCAAATTGAGCAATGGAGTGAGGAGACACATAGCTGTCTTGCTTAGCTTATTTTTGGGGCATAATGAAACCAGGTGAAGAGGAAAGGAGCAAGAAACAGGGAGCTCCCCCACCCAATGAAATCATACTAAGAAAAAACCCATTTCATGTATTTCTTAGAGTCAACATTAAGTCAGAAAGAACTTCAAAGCCCACAATAACAATTGTGAATATGCAAGTTATAGATTTAGGCTTGTGGTTTTAAGATATTTTAAAAATGTTAATTATGTGATTTTATGTAAAACTGTTATCTATATGAGCTCTTCTGGATAATAGAATAAATGAATAAAAGTAGTAATAGGGGTATAGCTTTTTATTCTTCACTGAAACAGTTTGGAGAACAACAATTCTGGAGTTATTAGTTTACTGTTATGAAACCTAGAATGGAGATTTCATTACTTTCTGTAGTGATTTTAATAATTACAATTCTTCATCCACTCAGTTTCTAATCCACTAAATAGGTGTGTCCACGCATCATGTAGCACAAACATTTCCCTTCATGCTTCAGCATATATAATGGAATAAAGACATCATCACTGTATTACTCATTTTGAATGCAATTGTTTATTAGGAAGCCATTCATTTAATTCATGGTTCTCTGTACTTGGGATGGGATGGGACAGAGATCTAGGTTTTAGTAAGACTTTTACAATACTTAAATTAACATAGGTTCAGCTGCTCAGAATTGAGAGACTGGACCACACAAAAAACAATATTACAGGTTAAGGTTCAGGTAGGAATTGGCAGTAGAGACACGCTTCACTGATCACAAGAGCAAGCCACGTGGGATCGAACGGTGTCTACAAAATCTTCAGGTTTTTCAACAAGTTTTGTCATTTCAGTAGGCAAAGTTGTCCCTAGGGAAGAAGAAAAACAGGGAAGAAATTATCAGAATGGATGTTTTTCAGGGGAAAATACTTTTTTAGTCTCAACAGCTAAGGACAAACTAGACTCTTGCTTGCTTTCTCTTGAAAAGAAAGTCCGCTCTGAAGTTTCAAGGGAAGCCTCCAAATAGCAATTGGGGAAGGCAATTTTGATCAGGACAGCAATGCACTTTAATAATGATTTTGGATTGTCTGCACATTTCTTCCCTCTCCAAAACCTTTATTCCAGTTACATGTTACCTGTTCATGCCCAGCATTTTTTTAAAAAAAATAATTATTACATTTGGCCCAGACATTGGTTTTTAAATGTGTCATGTTATTGTTATTGTTTTTGCTTATTTTACTATGAGTTCTGTATTGTTTTTGTATTATCGCCGTTATTGTTATTGTTGTATTGTGGACTCGGCCTCATGTAAGCCGCACCGAGTCCCTTGGGAGATGGTAGCAGGATACAAATAAAGTCTTCTTCTTCTTCTTCCTCTTCTTCCTCTTCTTCCTCTTCTTCCTCTTCTTCTTCTTCTTCTTCTTCTTCTTCTTATTATTATTATTATTATTATTATTAACACAGAGAGAACTGTGACTCTTTCCCATATCCCTTCTTTTGGAAGAGCAAGAAATATCTTCATAGTGCCCTGAGCATTGCACTAAACCAGGTGCCCATCTACCTTATAATGTCAGGAAAAGAAAGAGAGAGAAGAGGAGACTAATTTTAGTCCTGAGTAGTAGATGTGACATAGACTTACCAGCTGACACACAGTGGAAACCGGCAGAAATCTCGCTGGTTTCAGTGGGCAAGCACCCTTCTTGGCACTGCAGAATGGGATGGTTGGAAACACACTGGGAATTTTCTTCTGCAGCCAGCACTGGATTCTCATGTGTCACTGTTGAGTGCTGCAGCTTGCAGGCTACAAGAGAAGAAGTAGGTTAGTTTAAAACCTTGAACAGAGAACCAGTGAACTGGCACATGAAAAGGCACTTTGCCTAGCAGCCCTGCAAAGTGCCCAACTACCAGCCATCTCGGTTGTAACAAAAGAGTCCACTTACTTCCACCTAAGGCATCAGGAACAACCCAGGACTGGGCAAAACTGACAAGATCTTTGGCCAAGTAGCCACTTGGGGTTCTGAGAGGTCCTGATTCTCCGTTGTAATTTTCACAGAGACCACAGGCCAATCCAATCTTAGGAGTCACCACAACCTTGATTAAAGGATGAACAGCATTCATTGAAACTTAATTTACATTTAGGATGAGGAATAATGTAGCTACATCCATTCAGTCTCCCACGGAAACATTGAATTGAGGGTATTGTGTTAATGATTGCATTGCTACTGAAAAATAGGATGGGAAGACCTTAATAACAGTACAATGGCAAACACGTCGTCTCCACACACACGCATACACAAAATAATAAGGATTGTTTCTTGCAGGCTACAACAGAGGAAGTAGGGGTCTGTGGCTCAAGGAAAACCCGTGTTACTTTCTGGCTGCCACAGCTGGTGTTTCCTATGCCAATGGATCTTGAATCAAAACAGAGTTCCTGTTTCCATTTTAAAGGAGATGTCTCATGTGCTGAAATGATGGGGAGGGTTGTGTGTCAAGGCCCAAAATCTTGAGTAGAACTTTTAAAGTTCTGCATAACACAATCAAAGGGGATTGGTTGCTCCATCAAATCTCAAACCATCATCCATTGCCCTCGGCAACATCTGGCCAGGATGCAGAGAGAGAATGAGATTTATGGAGAAGGCCAAAGGAAAACACAAGTTTGGATTGGGAGTTTGCAAATCATATCTGGAAAATGATTTGCAGTCTGGAAAATGATTTGCAACAAGAAACATACCGTGACATTACGTCCATCATAGAACAGTCGCTCCAATCCATTTTTCTCCATCTGCAGAGTAATATCTTTGTCTCCTACTGTAACAATGATACCATTTGTTTCTGCAATTTAAACAAAGAAAAAGGTTAGCTATAGCAAATAAAATGGGCTTTGAACTAAATCTCATGCTCTTGTAGAACAGGAAATCCCTGTTCATCAACTTCCCATAGTCTATTTCTGTCTATCTATATCTATATATATAATAAAAGTCAAAACTTGTATGCGGAGGACAAAAGTGTGGCGGTGTATGTGCTCGCTTTCTGATTGGCTGCCACTGTGGTCTCTGATTGGCCAGCCTGAAAGTTCAAAGATTCCGATTGGCTGAGCAGCGGTGCTATTTGCATATGGTCTCTGATTGGCCAGCTTCAAGAGGAGCCCCTGGTGGAGAAAAGAGTTCATGACAGAAACGGGGACATGAGAAGGAAATTTGCATATGGTCTCTGATTGGCCAGCCTCAAATCCAAGATTCCGAGATGAAAAAGAGGAAAGGAAAGGCCGGGGGCTGGGTCAGAACACTACCAATACAGACCGAAATAGGCACACAGAGCCCCCATCACCCACTCTACATCCTACTGCAGTTTGGAGGAGTATGAACCATGGATGATGGGACTAGCAGTACCACCACTCACATTCTGAGACCGCTGTTAACCTTATCCAATGACTGATCAGGACCAAACTTCGCACATAGACCTCTCATGACCCACTTTACGTCCTGGTGTGGTTTGGCCGGGGATGGACCGTGGATTATGGGACTTGCAGTACCATTGCTCATTCTTCAGACCACTGCAACCCTCATCCAATTACCAATAAATACCAAACTTGGCACACTGAGTCTCCATGACGCACTCTACATCCAGGTGCAGTTTGAAGGAGGATGCACCATGGACGATGGGACTTGCAATACCTGGACTCCCTTCCTAAGACCATTACAACTGCCAACGATGATAAATCAGGACCACAATTTACACAGAGAGCCTGCATAACTCACTCTACATCCTGGTGCGGTTTGGAAGAATTTGACAATGGATGATGGGACTTGCAGTCACTTCACTCACTTCCTGAGACCACTGAGACCCTCGCCAATGACTCATCAAGACTAAACTTGGCACATGGCTTCAATGACCCACTCTACATCCTGGAGCAGTTTGGAGGACGACAGACCATGGATGATGGGACTTCAAGTCCTCCACTACCCAAGACTGCTGCAAAACTCATCTAATGACCAATCAAGACCAAAGTTGGCACACAGAGCCCCCATGACCCACTCTACATCCTGCTGCAGTTTTGGAGAAGGGTGGACCATGGATGATGGACTTCCAGTACCTTCACTCACATTCTGAGACCTCTGCAAACCTCATCCAATGACGGATCAAGACCAAACTTGGCACATAGACCTCTCATGACCCACTTTACGTCCTGGTGTTATTTGGAAAAATTTGGAGATGGATGATGGGACTTGCAGTACCTTTGCTCACTTCCTGAGACCACTGAGACCCTCGCCAATGACTAATCAAGACTAAACTTGGCACATGGAGCTCCAATGACCCACTCTACATCCTGCTATAGTTTGGAGGAGGACAGACCATGGATGATGGGACTTCAAGTACCTCCACTCCCTTCAAAACATTGCTTCAACCCTCTTCTAATTACCGATCAAGACCAAACTTGGCACACTAGAGCCCCCATGATCCACTTTACATTCTGCTGCTGTTTGAAAGAGGATGGACTTTGGATGATGGGTCTTGCAGTACCTTCACTCACTTACTGACACCACTGCCACCCTCATCTAATGACTGATAAAGACCAAACTTGGCACACAGAGCCCCCATGACCCACTCTATATCCTGCTGCTGTTTGTAGGAGGATGGCCCATGGATGATGGGACTTCAAGTACCTTCACTCACTTCCTGAAAATAATGCAGCCGTTATCCAAAGACCAATAAAGACCAAACTTGGCATACAAAACTACCATTACCCACTTTCTCTAATAACCCGGGCAACGCCGGGTCCCCAAGCTAGTTTTATAATAAAAAAGAGATAACCTTTCTGTTAATCTGTGTTACCTATCTATCTATCTATACATATAATAAAAGTCAAAGTTTGTATGCAGCGGATGTGTGGCGGGAGGAGTATGTGCCAGCGTTCTGATTGCCTGCAGCTGTGGTGCTATTTGCATATGGTCTCTGATTGGCCAGCTTCAATAGGAGCCCCTGGTGGAGAAAAGAGTTCATGACAGAAACGGACATGAGAAGGAAATTTGCATATGGTCTCTGATTGGCCAGCCTCAATTCCAAGATTCCGAGATGACAAAGAGAGGAAAGGAAAGGCCAGGGGCTCTGTCAGAAAATTACCAATACAGACCAAACTTGGCACACAGAGCCCCATGACCCACTCTACATCCTACTGCAGTTTGGAGGAGGATGGACCATGGATGATGGGACTTGCAGTACCATCACTCACATTCTGAGACCGCTGTTAACCTCATCCAATGACTGATCAGGACCAAACTTGGCACATAGACCTCTCATGACCCACTTTACGTCCTGGTGTGGTTTGGCCGGGGATGGACCATGGATTATGGGACTTGCAGTACCTTTGCTCAATTCCTGAGACCACTGCAACCCTCATCCAATTACCGATAAAGACCAAACTTGGCACACTGAGTCTCCATGACGCACTCTACAACCTCGTGCAGTTTGGAGGAGAATGCACCATGGACTATGGGACTTGCAATACCTGCACTCCCTTCCTAAGACCATTACAACTGCCAACAATGATGGATCAGGACCACAATTTACACAGAGAGCCTGCATGACCCACTCTACATCCTGGTGCGGTTTGGAAGAATTTGACAATGGATGATGGGACTTGCAGTCACTTCACTCACTTCCTGAGACCACTGAAACCCTCGCCAATGACTGATCAAGACCAAACTTGGCACTCAGAGTCCCCATGACCCACTCTACATCCTGGTGCACTTTCGAGGAGGACAGACCATGGATGATAGGACTTCAAGTACCTCCACTCCCTTCCCAAGACTGTTGCAACCCTCATCTAATGTTCAATCAAAACAAAACTTGGCACACAGAGCCCCCATGACCCACTCTACATCCTACTGCAGTTTGGAGTAGGGCATACTATGGATGATGGGACTTGAAGTACCTCTACTCGCTTTCCGAGACTGCTGCGACCCTCTACAATGACTGAACAACACAAAACTTGGCACATAGACCTCTCATGACCCACTTTACGCCCTGGTGTGGGTTGACTGTGGATTGAGCATGGATTATGGGACTTGAAGTACCTTCGTTCAATTCCTGAGACCACTGCAACCATCATCCAATTTCCGATAAGGACCAAACTTGGCAAACTGGGTCTCCATGATGCACTCTACATCCTGGTGCGGTTTGGAGGATGATGCACCATGGACGATGGGACTTGCAGTACCATCACTCACTTAGTGAAACTACTGAGACCCTCATCCAATGACTGATGAAGACCAAACTTGGCACACAGAGCCCCCATGGCCAACTCAATATTCTGGTGAGGTTTGGGGGAGAACAGACAATGGATGATAGGACTTCAACTACCTCCACTCACTTCCCAAGACTGCTGCAACCCTCATCTAATGACCAATCACGACCAAACTTGGCACACAGAGCCCCCATGACCCACTCTACATCCTGGTGCTGTTTGGAGGAGGATGGACAACGGATGATGGGACCTGCAGTACCTTCATTCACTTCCTGAAACCACAGTGACACTCATCCAAATACCAATAAAGACCAAACTTGGCACAGAGAGCCCCCATGGCCAACTCAACATTCTGGTGATGTTTGAGGGAGACTATGAATGATGGGACTTGCAGTACCTTAACTCACTTTCTGAGTCTGCTGTGACCCTCATCCAATGACTGATCAAGACCAAACTTAGCACACAGAGCCCCCATGACCCTCTCCATCCTGGTGCAGTTTGGAGGAGGATGGACCACAGATGATGGCACTCGCAGTACCTTCACTAACTTCCTGAGACTACTGCGAGCCATATAAATAACTGATAAAGACCAACCTTGATATACAATTCCTTTCCCCAATAACCCGGGCAGCGCCGGGTCCCCAAGCTAGTTTAGGTAATATTTTCTAGCCTGTAATCCGAGGAACAGGCCACACTCATTTAGTATACCTTCCACCCTCAAGTTAAACTATTGATGTTTATCTATTTGTTGGCCACCGTCTGCCTCAAATCATGATTCAAATGGTTCAATCTGGGTATTCATTCATACAGTCTTGTACATACCTCTGAGATTGCGTAAGGAAGGCTCATTGCTCTGTATGGTGGTCCCATTCATTACTAACAACGGTTTTCCATCACGAATCTTGAGGACAATCTCCCTGATAGAAAAATAAACATGCAATAGAGCATTAATCTTCCCTTGTGATCACAATTCCTGAATTTTCCAACACTGAAATCGGGTCATCATCAAGAAAATACATTTATCAAGCACTCTGAAGCTCTTTCCTCATTTATGTTCATGTTGTTTCAATTAACCATTTTGATTTACATATGCTTAGCATTGGCAAGGTATTACAGTGCCTTGAAGCTGGATTGAAAAAGCTAAACAGTATTTAGGTATATTTTGCCCATTTGATGATTTGCAAGACTCGAGTTCTTCTTTTCATCCCAAGAAAAAACTCACTTACTGCCATGTTTGAGCATACTTACGTGTATTCCATGGTGGCATTGACCAGTATATTGTTATCAGGTTCATATTTAATCAACACCATAAAGTTCTTGTGGCAGGTACAGTCTTGTAACAAGTCCAGGAAACAGCCGGGAACCAATCCTTTGTTGATGATTTGTCCATGGAAAGTTTGGATTGTCTGACCGCTTACTTTACACATACCTAAAGGAGAGGCAGCAACATGAATGAGAGAAAATAACTACTTTTGGAGTGATCCTTAGTGTTATGTAAACAGCTATGAAACACTAAAATGATTATTTTAAGAAAACAAATTAATACAATTAGATTGGACAAGATTAGCTTGGACCAGTAACTTTGATAGGGTGATTTTGTAACTGAAGGCTAAGTTACTATTTATTCTTCCAGGTCAACAATAACAAGTATTGGGGTTTGCCTCACATTGTCTGATACTTCTAATATTTTATCGCTTACTATTACTCAGTGTATTAGTTAAACATGTCTTAAATGTTATATTTACATATTTCCATTTTTAATCTTGTTAGTTTGTGCTATTTTATAATTATACTATGAAGTTGTTTATTTATTGTTTATGATTTGATCTGTTTTGTCACACCTTGTTGGCATTAAATGTTTGCCATTTTTTCTGTTCTATACCTCCCTGAGTTCCCTTGGGGAGATAATGCAGGATAAAAACAAATTATTATTATTATTATTATTATTATTATTATTATTATTATATGGCTCAGGTTCAGCTCTTCATTGCTATTTAAAATTACAGAACCATGATGGTAATGTAACCGCTTGGTGCAATTATACATTCTTTTCAGAGAAATAAACTAAAATGTTAGGGGAAACTGACCTGGACTTCCTCTCACACTAAATGGCTTAAAGCAGAGAAGGGGATCCTCCACTACCAATAATTTCCATAGCTTTCACTGTCAGTCATCCTGGTTCAGATTGATCACCCTTGGGTTAAAGAGTGTAGAAATGTTAAAAACCTCACCATTCAGACTCGCAAGGACTCTTGATGGAACATCAATGATTTTGGAAGTTTTGATATAAGGCATTTCATATAGAAGCATGAGGTCCTCTTTAAAGAAAGTACCCTGGAAAGAAACACGAGGACTGATTAAAAAACTAAGCACAGCAAACACCCTTCTTTTCCTTCAGAGCATTCCTGAACTGATACTTTGGCACAGATAGAGACAACTGACCTCTGGTATCCTTGTAACCATGGCGTAGCTGCGTGGAGTGGTTAGAGCCAGAACCATTGAAATTTCTTGAGAGGGGTTTCTTTGAATTCTATGTGAATGTCCCAGCATGTATGCCATTTCAGGGATTAGTTCATAGTACCTGTCAGGAAAGGAAGGAAGAATCACATTATCCAATTTAATTAATTTAAGAGACACCAGAGGTGAATCCCACATGAATTTCATAGATCATAAAATTAGAAGAGACCACATGGGTCATCCAAGTTCAATACCCTGACATGCAGGAAAAGTGCAATCAAAGTACCCCTGGTTACCACTCCCAGCCATCAATGCTACCTTTCAGGATAGCTTAGAGGTTCTGAGAGTTCGCATTATCCCACAGTTAATATGTCAGTTTCTACGTGGGACAATGTTACTTTAGAAATCCATACACTTCTGGAGACATCTCCCTATCAGTAGTAAGGACACTGACTGGAATACGGGTACAAGTGGTAGTCTGAGTTGGGGTCACCACAAGCCTAATCTGCATTCCCAAAAGAGTTACTTGTATCAGAAAAAAGGGCCCTTTTTCAGGAGACTACAAGAATTAAACATGCCTTTTACATCTGATTTCTTGCAGGACTCAGGGGACAAGGGCTGATCCAGAAGAGAGAAAAAGTTTCTGAAAGAATCAACTGTTTCAAGCTCAGTTTTAAAATTTTTCCTGCATATTCTGAGATATGATCCACCTTTTAAAAAAAATATCCCAGGTTTCCTTCTCCTCTCCTTCGCTTTCTCTTCCCGCCTCACCCACTGATCATATGATATATCTCGATATTTCAGAAATTGAATTCCACCCATTTCCACAAATTGGTTTGTGGAAGAACAAAATTTGGAACTCTCAAAGACTTTTTCCCCTTATGGATGAGCCTTAAGACTCTGTTTTATGTCATAAACAAAGCTTTTACTAACCGTTTAAAAATGTCAGACACTGTGGAAGGGATCTTGGGGTATGCAAGTTTCCAACGAATTGCTGGATGATCAGCCAAAGAACCAGTCTCCACTTCAGTTGTGACCTCGTATTCCTTGCAATCCTGGCCTGCCTTCAAAGACGACTGAGAGGAAGAGAAGAATATTAAATACAACTTATTCAAATACATCACGCACCCCTGGTTGTCTTGTTCTGTGGGATCACC